GACACAGATAAACCTCCAAGTGCCTCAATGACCCTCTAAAAGGATGCAAATGACCAGCTGTCTGCAAGGAATATAAATCCTTCCATTCCCCACCATTCTTTCAGAGCTGAAGAAGCTTCTTGGATGAGAAGCAAAACGTCTTCAAAAGAAAAAACCAGGAAGTCCAGTGGCCTCTTGAAGAAAAAGCACCTTTGGGACAACCAGGACCTGGACGACTGAGAATCTCCACGGACTTTGCCACCCTTAATTCTTATGTCCTCTTGCTTTGCAGGGGGAATGCCTCCCACCCCTCAAACCGTGAAGCTGATGGGTCAGAAGCAGAGCCAGCAACAGTACGACCCTTCCAAAGGGCCCCCGGTGCAGAATGCAGCCAGCCTTCACACCCCACCGCCTCAGCTGCCCGGTAGAATGCAGCCCACCAACGTGTCAATCAGCTCCCACCCTCCAACGCTGCAGCTGGCACCCCAGGCGGCTCAGATGAATGACCCTCCCATGCAACAGGCGGCGATTCACGTCAAAGCTCAGTCCCAAAACGTGATGGTCACTGCGGCTGCTGTGTCCCATGGCCAGGTTCAAGCACCGTCTCAGCCACAAGGGCAGCCGGCAACGCACGGACCGGGTCAGATGACACCCCCCTCCCAGGTGGCGGCCTCTCAAACTCCAGCCCCACAGCAGGTAGGCAGAGGCAGTAACTTGGCATTTCAGTCAGGGCTGAAAGCCTGTTCTAAAGAGTAAAGGCAGGGGTGTCAAACTTGATTTCACTGAGGGCTGCATCAGGGTTGTGTTTGACCTTGGGAGGGGGGGGGGGCTGCTTGACGTTACTGGTGTCGGGGGCCTAGATAGGGTGGGGGGGATACATTGTCTCCAGTGGAGGAATGTGATACCAGAGAGAAGGCCAAACCCTGGTCCTCCAAGAGCAGCGGTCACCAACTGCTGGTCTGTGGAAAATTATTTGCGTTTATTATATTGCACTCAATCAGGAGGTCCTCAAACTTCAGCCCCTGGGACGGATACATGCAATGAACGCTTGTGTTGCTGCAGAGAGTCTCCCCCTTCGGAGTCCTTTTGTGCAGGTCGGAGGGGGGCAGAAATTCCGACTTGGGGTCTGCTTTAGCCTCCTCGTATGAGGCTTTGGGAAAAGGCTGGAGGGAAGTATTGGTGGTGGCAAAGAAGCGTTCACTGCATGTATCCATCCCAGGGGCCGTAGTTTGAGGACTCCTGATTTAGGGCAATATAAAAATTGCAAATAATTTCTCTCTGGATCACCAAAATTTTCTCGCGGACCACCAGTTGGCAGATTTGTGTATTTCTTTTTGACTGTTTCTCTAAAACGAAATATGGTTTATCCCTTGAAGCTATTAATTTTTCTAATCTTATATTCTAATTTATGTGTCTTCTTTTAGATCACAACTCTCTCTCGTCCCTCATCCGACTCTAACCAAAACTCCCAGCGCATTTCGTCAAGTGTGGTTCCTCCTACCTCAAGCAACCCACCAACTTCTGCTTCCAACCCTGCCCCACAAACAACACACTCAACCCAAGCCAGCAGGTCCTCGCCAGGAGCAATTAAGTCAACATCTCCCGTGGCCTCCAAACCCCCAGGGTTGGCCGTGGCAGCAACCCCCAAAACTCAGAACACAACACAAAATACCGCAACAGGTCAGGATAGCACACACGAGAAGTTGGCTGAACAAGTGAAGTTGGTGAGAGTTTTTCTGTCTCTTCTGATGCCAAAGGAACATGTTTTCCCCAATTGATAAGTTACCTGTTTACCAACCATCCAGCCATTTTAATCCATAGGCTGAAAGGTGATGATGTCCCTGTTCCAGGTTTAGGAACTAATGGAACGCAGTGGCTCTGTGGCTAAGCACTGTACTTGTCGATCAGAAAGGTTGGCAGTTCAACGGTTTGAATCCGTAGTGCCACGTAACGGAGTGAGCTCCTGTGACTTGTCCCAGCTTCTGCCAACCTAGCAGTTCGAAAGCACATTAAAAAATGCAAGCGAGAAAATAGGAACCACCTTTGGTGGGAAGGTAACAGCGTTCCGTGCACCTTTGGCATTGAGTCATGCCGGCCACATGACCACAGAGACGTCTTCGGACAGCGCTGGCTCTTCGGCTTTGAAACGGAGATGAGCACTGCCACCTAGAGTCTTGTTTTTGAACAAGAACAAACAAACATAAAAATTAAAAAAACCATCTTCCATTACAAATTGTAGAAAGTGTGTCAGATGGTTACCATATTTCCATGCATCTCTTCCATAGTCACCATCTGTTTTTCATATCAAATTGCATATTTTATATTCACCTATATTCATGTATATCACAATTATTATATATCAACCTTAATTTGACTATAATTGTTTTATGTCCTTTTATATATAGTATTCAAAAT